AAGACAAAGCTAGAATAAGGGATTAGCCATCATCATTGGGGTCTAGGTTTTCTAAAAGACAGGGCCCTAAGGCCCCACGCTCCCTGGGGGAGGTTGCTAGAACTCACCTGAAGGTCGCCAATCTAATTAGCAAAATCTCTGCCCAGCCCCTCCAGGAGTCCCCAGCTGGAGAAAGGAGCCGTCACAGATTCTGAGGCACTGAGTGCCCTCTGGTCAGAGCAGGGACCAGTGTGACTCCACAACAGACACGTCCCCAAGAACCTTAGGCCTAGGATCTGTCCTTAGGCAAGGCATAGAGGCTGAGACTGCTTGTCACTGGTCCGACCAGACACTAGGGTCTCTCAGGGGAGGGAGTGGAGTGTCTACTTTGAATGGATGCTGGGACTCAGCATGTCATCCAAGCTGCCAGTCCTGGCAGAACCAGGTTAGAACATCCTGGGGAGCACTACCACTTGGGAAAGGCTGACCAGGATGTGTGGAGGAGAAGGAGGCAGAAACAGGAAGCAGACTCTGGCCTGTCATTCCTTAGCTGTGGAAATACCCAAGGCTGAGCCGGTAGAGGCGAGGGCAGGAGCAGAGTGCCTCTACTCAGGCCCTCACCCAGATAGGGAGGAGCCTCAGCAGGGCCCGCCTAAGCCAGCTCAGCCTTTCATCTCCCAGCAATAGGAGGAGGTGGACCGGCCCCTGCTGCCAGCCCAGCCGGCAGTGATTTTGGCACCTGCAATTGCCAGAGAGAGGCAGGAGAAAGCAGGAAAGGGATTGCAAGAGCCAAGTCCAGCTCTGCATAGTCCCACAGGAACCAGGGATTCAGGAGGCAGTGAGAAGTATAAGGCGAAGAAAAAAGTCTCATGGTAACTGTGAGGCCTCCAGGGCCAGTGAGGTGGGCTGGAGAGAAGGGGAGGAGGAGTTACCCAGTTGGCTGGCTCCAGCTTCTATCTCCTGGTGTCACAGGAGCCCTGGCCTCCTGTAACGCTGATGCCAGGAGTTAGTGTCCAAACTGGAGCTATCAGAGAAGGGGGCTGGTGGGGCAGGGGCTGGGCTCAGAGCCCCTAGGAGTCAGGGCTAGGGAACAGCTCCGCTTGATGATCCAGGAGGAACTTGGTGAAGGTATTGATGGGATTAATGGCCTTCAGAGTGATGGCAGCATCCTTGGCCCACAGCAGGTTAGGGCCGAAGACAACAGCCAGGTTAGTGTTGGTCATCTTATTCTGGTCACTGTTGGCAGAAACCTGTGAAGGGAAACCAGAGGGCTGCAGCAGGCTGCCACAAACCCTGCCTCCACACCCGGCAATCAGCTGCCCTGGAGCAACACGGGTGGCAGCTTCTCCTCTCCCCTCCCCCCTCCTCCAGGTGAGCAGCAGAGGCTAAGGCTGAAGTCTCACCTGCACCAGGAAGGCAGTGAGGAAACGAAGCACCTGGTAGTTCTCCTCAGGCAGCGTCCGAAGGACCTGCAGCGTCACCTCCACTCTCTGGCTCTCATCAATGTCTGTGAGGAATGGGGGCCCAGGTTACAGGGGCCCAAGGCTGGGCTGGTTCAGGAAGCCCTAACGTGAGGCTAGAGGGGAGATCCCAACTAGACCTTCTTTAGAGGACAGGCCAAACCCTCCTGCTCCAAGTCCAGCCTAGATCCAGCAAAAGCACAGAGCTGCGAAGGGCAGAGCGGGCACTCACTGAGGAAGCCCACGACGTGGGGGTAGAGGTCAAAGGTGAGCAGGGGCTCAGGAAGCTCCCGGAGGAAGGTCTTGAGGATGACTGCTGGCAGATGCAAGTCGTACTGGTTGAAGTCTACGGGCAGCCCTGGAGGTGGGGTGGGAGAGGGTAGAGAGAAGCTGGGCCCAGTCTAGAAGTCAGCCTGGAACCCATCTCAAGGCCAAGTAGGCCTCACAGTCTGACTTCCCCTCAGTCATAAGCCTCCTCCCAGAGAGCTGCCTCTTGCACCCGCCTTCCCCTCTTCCTCTATGACAAGGGGACGCAGATTCAGGTCATCTGGGTGGAGTGGGGTCCTGCCAGCATATACTCCAGTTATTCCTTGTCTCTGAATGAACCTGAACCTAGGACCCGGGAGACTGACCGATGAGACAGCAGGCCAGGCGGGAGTGGGACCCATGTAATTATACCAAATGTCACAGAAACCTCTGACAGGAACAGAATCCGGGACCCTTGTTTAGAGGGAAGCCGAAGGCAGAGAAGTTCCCTAACAGTCACACACATGTCCCCAACCCCACCCTCATCCACACACACGCCCTGTGGGCCTGGGCACAGCCCAGGCTGCTCACCCATGTTGTACTTCTGTTGCACTTCCCGTACAACCTGCGTGTTGGCCGACCTCCGGAAAATCCCCTCGGTGTTCAGAGCTGGGAAACAGTGGGGCCTGGTGAGTCTCAGAGCTCTGGGGAAGTGTGTAGACTCCCCCCACCCACTCTCTGTCTTGGAGTCCCAGTGAGGGTCAGTGCAGGTGCTGGTACATGTGGAACCTCTCTCAGCTCTGCCTGGCAGCAGCTTCCCGAGGGGAGCTGGGAGACCCCGCTGAGGAGGGGGAAGAGGGGCGGGTGTTAGAGGCACTGTGGCAGGGGGGCCCGGGCGCTCACCTTGGGCCTGCAGATAGGCAACGGTCTCCCGGAGCACCAGTGGGATGGGCTCCTGCTCTGGGCTCTTCTCCTGGAGGCTGCAGGAATGAGGGCAGTGAGCAGGGTCTGCAGCCCTTCCCAGCCCCCAGGCACCAGGCCTGCCCACTGCATACTTACTGCTGCAGGGAGACCCCAAACTGCTGGTTGGGCAGGGGAGGCCGTGGTGGCATGGGCTTGGGGGCTGTTGCAGGGCTCTTCTGTGTGGATTTCAGGAAGTCATCATACCTGGGGGAGCAGATGAGAAGGTCAGGCCCTCTGCCTGGCTCTGTACTCTCTATGGCAACCCTTGTTTGTCAGGCACTTACTGTGTTATTTTACATGGATTACTTCATTCGGTCATCATAACAACTCTGCTTTACACATAAGAAAGTCAAGGCTTTAAAGAGATTCAGTCACATAGCTTTTAAGTGACAGAAATACAATTTGAACTCACTCTCTCTGACCCCATTTGCTGTCTCTTAATCTTTACACTTGCTTCCTGTTTATCCTGAGGTTCTCAAGGCTTTCCTCTCCCCTTGTCCGGCACCTCTTACTCCCCCAAACACGATACACGTGTCCACAGATGCCATCCAGTGGACACACACAGCCCTGTCCCAGTCTCACTTGAGCACTTGGCGAGGGATCCCCAGCTGCTCCAGCTTCACATGCTCGCTCAGCTCGCTCAGGTAATTCACATAGAAGATCTTCTGCCCAAACTTGAAGCTGCCAACAGGGGAGAGGGCATGGGTCAGGGAGCACACCTGCTTCAGCAAGCCTCCACTGTCTCCTCAGCAGCACCCCCGGATCAGACAGAGGCCTAGCCCCAACTGCTCTGTCCCTAGGATGCTTGGCCATCTCAGGTATCTGCTTCAGAGTTCGAGGCGAAGCATGGGGAGACCACCACCCCGCCCTTGGCCTGCTCACCTAATGATGGGCTTAAAGAGGATGAGCAGGGTCTTGATGAACATGGTGGGGTGCACGATGTACAGGGCTTTGATGTTCTTCTTGTACCTGTGGAGGCAGAACGGGAACTCAGGAGTGGGCGTGGCAGGCAAGGCACAGAGCTGGCTCCTTAACGTACATTTTCTGATGTGACTACTGGTGGCAGCCTGCACAGTAAGTGCCACTGTTGCTCCATCTTATAGATTAGGAAATGGAGGCTCAGAGAGGTTAAGGGAGATGAAAGGTGCCAGAGCGAGTAAGCAGAGAAACTGGGATTTAAGCCCAGGCTCT